CCCCAAAACCCCAAAACCCCAAAACCCCAAAACCCCAAAACCCCAAAACCCCATTTAAAATCAGAACAGTTGAAAATAATTAAGAATAGACATTGAAATGTTTCACTGGGAAACTGCAGATTCCAAGAGATGGAGCCACTTGGCTCCTCTTTTGGCCAAAGCAGCTACTTCTCCTGTTACTAAAGTTCAATGATTTCCTTTTATGATTATAAGGTGTCCAGATCTTTTTGTCCTTGAAGTTTGGCACTATCGTGCCAAACTTAGTGCTCTGAGTATCTATACTTCTTTTTACCAGGAAATTATTAGACTTTTTCCTGTGGAATTCTACCTTGGAATGAGTAGAAGGAGTCAGCTTGTTCTGTCCCCAGTGACCCATACTTTTCATCAAAGGTCTGATTTTAGTCCTCTTCTTGCTGAATGATATCTTCTGAGATCTCAAGTTCCTAACTCTAAGTTTCTTAGCTTGAGTGGCCGGTGAAAGTTTGCTTATAACTAAGATGATAAGTTTGGATAAAACTCACCTCTGGAGGAATCTTCTGCTTCTGATTTTTCATCAAAACCATACCTTTGCTTCAAATTGGAATACTGATTCATCATGATTTCAAAGATTGCTCTAAGATTAAGTTGGATGACTTACTGATATTTATTTTTTAAAAGGAGAGGGTCCATCTTCTTCTTCATTTTCATTGGTCTCAAGCGTTTCTATCCTTCTATCCATCTCAGCTGTGATACTTTCAAATTCATGCTGATCAAACTGTGGTTTATCTTCCTTTGTCATAACTAACTCTGGATCTTTACCTTTCGGATGTCAATAAGTAACTCCATTAATCGCTGATGATTCTTCAAATCCTTTATTTATGTAAAATCTTAGTCTTGGGAATATCAATGACCCAAAGTCTATTATCATCGTCCCTTAAGAACTCCATTTCAGCTTCTTCGACTTCATAGTTGTACATAGTATCGACATAGAAGCATATCTTGACGAAGATGCTGTAACATCTGAACTCAATTTTATCAAGCCTTTTAACGGTCCCTTCAGGAAGAATCCTGAAATGAAACTTATAAGTTCTCTTATTTAGAATTAATTTCGTATGGAATAACGCTCTGCATTATCATAACTGTCTTCCAGAAGCTATCATTCTTCCTGATATGGAACTTCTTGATAAGAGCTTTCTCGCTAAGCAGTTGGACTAGAGACTCCTTGTCCTTTTCAGGCATGTAGACTATTCGAGCGTAATCATGAGGATACAGCTTGTCTTCATCCTCAACTGTTTTATTTAGGAGAAATCAAGTCATTGTTCTTCTCCCTTGAACGGTTGTTAAAATTTAAGTCACTAGAAAACTTTCGTGTTGACCTCCTATTCCTGCAGAATTGGGGTAAGTCCTTCCTGATCTCAGTAAGCTCTAGCTTTTCTGGGACTTTTATGCAAGTAAGAAAGTTATTCCTATCACTTTTTATCATCATTTTGGGCCTTCCTTTTACGAAGAAATATGTCTCTGGGATTAAGAGTTCACACCCATGGATACGATCATGAGGTGAGAGGAGGTGCTCAGCCATCCATAAAAAGTTCTTATACTCTATCTTTACATCACTCCTGCTAATCTCGTGCTTAGGAGGGAAGAAATTTTCCGGAGGAGCCACAGTGTACTCATTCTTCGCTTGTAAAAGGCATATTTTGCACTTTCATCTGTAATATCAGCAGGCTTCATCATTATAGTTCCTATAGGACTCAGATCCGAAATAGTCTACCTTTGAAGCTTATTTTCTGATCCTTACCTTATCAAATTTCTTTGAGATTGACAAAGTCTAGAAAAATAAATTACTAACAAATCAGAAATAATTCTAAAGGAGGTTTATCCTAGGTCTTTGCCAAGATGCTCAACAAGGATCCAGGCCATAGTCTAGAGTGAAAGAATAAGGCAAAACCCTAAGCCACGTACATTCTTGAGGGTGGGTCCATACTTAACACTTGGTCTCTTATTCACAAGAATTTGCATTTTATTTCAATATTTTACATAAAGTTAGGGGTTTTGGGGTTTTGGGGTTTTGGGG